CAGCCGTCTTAAACGAGGCCAAAGGGAATTCAGGTGGTGTATTACAATGAAACATCCTCCAGAGTATAGAACATCCATCTGTACCTGCTTCCCTCTCCCAGGATGGACACTTTTCTCCTGCAGTGATCTGTGACCTCTGTTGACTTTGTCACCTATCATTGTGTGACATCACCCTAGAGCTTTGGTCCTAAAACAGCGATGATTTAGTGTTTCTCATGATTCCTGGCATTGACTAGGGGTGGCGGCGGGCCAGGGGGTGGGGGTGGGGGGTCCTGCAGGCCTCGTCTGGGCTCATTCACGTGTCTGTGGTCAGCTGGAGAACTGGCTGGCTGCAGTTGGCCTGGGTGTGAGGCTAGTGACTTCTCCATGTGACCTCTTCCGCAGGCTAGCCCAGGCCCGTTTTTGTGCTGACAGAGGCGTTGCAAGAGGGCAAGGCAAACACTGCAGGGCCTCTTAAGGTTTGACCTTGGAAATAGCACAGCATCACAGGAAATCCTCAAGGCCAGTCCCGGTTCAAGCCACCTCTTGGTGGGAGTGAGCGGTATAATGGCTTTGGGGTGTGGACACAGGAGGATGGAGTTGTTACTGGAATTACCAGCTTGCCTCTGTCCCCAAGGATTTGTGTCCCTCACACCTGTAGGACGTATTCCTCTCCCATTTTTGCCCGTCCTTTGTGGCACAGCATCGGCCTGAAAATCTGTGCCCTGCCTGCCTCAGCTAAGGATGGCTGCAGCAGGGCCACTAGGTTATAGCTCCTTAGGTATGGTTCCTCCTTTTTTTTTTTTTTTTTTTTTAAGTTTCTTTTTGAGAGAGAGACAGACAGAGCACAAGCAGGGGAGGGGCGGAGAGAGGGGGAGACACAGAATCTGAAGCAGGCTCCAGGCTCTGAGCGGTCAGCACAGAGCCTGACACGGGGCTCGAACTCACGAACCGCGAGGTCGTGACTTGAGCCGAAGTCAGATGCTTAACCGACTGAGCCCCCCAGGTGTCCCTAGGTCTGGCTCCTCTTGATTCAGAGAGCTGTGAATTGAAAAGACACCCCCCAAAAACAAACACACAAACATGGCAAGGTGGGAACAAGGTAACTGTTCAAAGAGGGGGGTGGGTAGTGAGCAGCATACAGCAGTAAACTGTCCCCAGCAGCTCTGGGGTCTAGCCCAGCACATGCCGTCTGGGCATCAGTTGTGGTGTCAGTCATTGGTGGTGAGTAACCAGCCCACCAAAGCTGGGTGGTTCAAAACAGCAGATTTATTACATCTCATGATTCTGTGGGTTGACTGGGCAGTGGACTGGCCTCTACTGGGTGCTGTCAGGTGGTTGCAGGGAGCAGGTGGCCGGGGCTGAGGCTGGATGGCGGAGGGTGATCTGACCTGGTCTGCGTACAGAGGCTGAAGCGGGTCCCTTCCACATGCTTCCATTCCCAGCCTCGCTGGCCCTTTTGGGGCCTAGGTTTAGAAATCACATTCTGTTGCCAGAACATGGGTCTGGCTCCGCCCAGATTCTGGGATGGATGGGGATGTTGGGCTCTCTCTTGCTGGGAGGAGTGCCAGTCACATCGTAGAGGGGCGTGAACATAGACGTGATGAATTGTTTGATTATTTTGGTAGTAGGCTCCCACGCTGTCATCCCCTCCATTGTAGGAGTTTGGATACGTTTTTGTTGGCTTCGTTTTCTATTAATTCTTGAAAAGGAAATGTCACTGTTTTTTCTTAGTCTGGGGGTGGGAGGCTTAGCAGAGGGTTGTCAGGTTAGCTAACCTAAAGCAAGTCACATCTTCGTGGCACATCACCTTGTCAAGGCTGCTCTCCTTCTTTCCCCGGATTTCCTGACCGTTGTGGTTCTGTATCACCCGGGCACACTCTGATTCTTGGGCCCCACACCAGATTTGCTGAACCAGAAATTCCAGGGGTGGGCCAGGCAGTCTGTGCTCTAACACGCCTGCCAGGTGATTCCGATGCCCCCGAGACTTGAGAATCACTGTTCCTGCAGATTCGTTTTTGTTTTTTAATTTTTAAAAAATGTTTATTTATTTTTGAGAGAGAGAGAGAGAGTGTGTGTGTGTGTGAGAGAGAGAGCAGGGGTGGGGCAGAGAGAGAGGGAGACACAGAGTCTGAAGCAGGCTCCAGACTCTGAGGTGTCAGCACAGAGCCTGATGCGGGGATGCGGGGCTGAACTCCCCAACCGTGAGATCATGACCTGAGCTGAAGTTGGCCACTTAACTGAGGTACCCAGGTGCCCCCATTCCTGCAAATTGTTACTGCCACTTCCTTACCCTTGTAAGCCAGAGATATGGCCCCCCTCCCCTACTTTCTTGGACTCTCTGTCCCTGTCCGAATTAGGGTATTCTTCGTAGTATCTACTCCCCCTAGATTGTGTTTGTGTCAGTGTAAGGCTGGGGCTTTCTTATTACTCAGGGGACCTTTACTGGCTAGTAGTCATTGTGCCCGGGCACGTGGGCACAGCAGTGAAAAACATGGTCCCTCAGTTCCTTCAGCTTATGGTCTGGTGAAGGAGCTAGTGTGCTCTGGGAGGACAGCCAGTTCAGTAGGGTGATGACAAATTCAGTTCACGTATGTTGTGCTTGAGATGTCCAGGTAGAAATATGTATCTAGTAACTGATCCGAGGAATTAAAATTCAAAAGGCAAGGCTGGCGCTAGCAATTTGAAAGTTACTGTATACACGATAGTTTAAAAACAGTTCTTCCTCAAAGGTGTTGGGGTTTTTTAAAAACATGGATTGTGTACTCTTGCCCCCCCCCCCCCCCCGTGTATGACTGAGGATGTTTTGGGGATCTCC